AAACTGTGTCTTAACCTTGAAGCACAATCAATGCTAATATACACTGGACTGTTCTGATTCATGACATTCTAAAACTGTGGTTCTCAAAGTTTAATATACATAAGAGCCATGCTGGCAACAATGTCATTTTCCCAAACCTGTTCCAATTCAGTGAATGGGCCCAAGATTCTCTGTTTTCACTACGTTCCAAGGTGATTCTAATGTGAGTGGTCTGCTGACCATACTGTAAAAAAAAATGATCAAGAAAAATAAAAATGAAGGCTATCATTAAGGGGACATGAGCATGTTCTCCAAACCTTCAACAATATTGTATGGAGAGTAATGGAAGAAATTGGGATACTCAGATGTAAAAGAAAAGCCTCAGAAGGGGCATATCACTGAAATATACAGAAAGGTCATTTCAATAAAAAAGATGTAGCTTGGTTTTCTCTTGCTTAAGACGGAACTACAGCCATTAGTAGAAGTCATAGCGATGGAGACATCAACTCAATATAAAGACTTTTAATCTCTAGAGCTGCCTAACCATTGAGCAGACTCATCAAGTAGTAATATTCTCTTATTGCAGGAATAGAAGTGGGGATTAGGTGACCATCATCAGTGATGACAAGGAAACTCTTGGTTAGGTAGCAATCCCTACAGCTCCTGTTAAACCTGTGCACAACTCCAGTGATGTCCACTGTGCTGTGATTCTTTGCTTATGAGTCTCTTTCCTTGGCTGTGAGCTCCTTGTGGCATCAACTCTCCTTCTATTCTCATGTTGGATGCTCAGTACACGGTTACCCTGAATCTAAGCTCAGAACCTAATAAATCAAGTTCCAGTATCTGCAAACCTGGACTTCTGATGAGTTTCCTGTAACTTCAAAAGAAAATCTGGAATTTATAGCAATCTCCTCTGGGTTCAGAGTGAACCCTTACTAAGCCCCTGCTCTTCTCCTTCAGGAAAGTTTTAAAATTTCCTTCACTGAAGGTCTCACATCTTTCTTTTACATTTTCAAGTAATTTGATTGCTTCTGTGGATGGTAGTGTCTTTCCTAATTCTCATTCTAGTTGGTTATTTCTGGAATGTAGTCTAGTATCTAACAACGTCTGGGCTTCCTTGTGAAATATCTCAGTTTTCACAGTTTACAGAGGATTTTCCTGGTAGATGATCACGTATTTTTTTTAAAGTAACGGTAAATTTACTCCTTTTCCTCAGTTTTTATACCTCATATTTCTTCTTTTCTGTCATTTGGATTTTGCACCTACAATGTTGTACAGAGGACAAGGCATCCTTGTCTCATTCCCAACTTGATTAGAAGCACAACCAGTGTTTCCTCACTAGGTTATCTCCTCCCTTCTCTGCATTATGCTTTATGTGCATTTCCTAGAATGGGAAAAGTGACTCCTATATGACAAGACGGAGATTGGTGGATGAGGAAAACAGCTGTAGGACCATGTTAAGCATGTGACAAATAGAGAGAACCTAGCTCCAAATTCACTAAGGATCAGTACACACACAAGATGAACCTGTTAGAATCCACTGCCCAGATGCTGACATTGTGCCTCTTTCTAATATATGTGTGCACACAAATTAACACTCCCCTAAGAAACATTTATATAACAATAATTCATTTTTAGAAACCTTTTAAAAGGCTATGTTACCTATATATCTAGACAAACTTTTTAATCAGCCAGCCAAATGGTATCTTCACTTCTATTTTTTAAAAAATTTTTTTATTGATTTTTAGAGAAAGAGGAATGAAGAGGCCGAGAGAGAAATATCAATAGGAGAATAAAACATCAATCAGCTGCCTCCTACACGCTCCCTACTGAGGACTGTGGCCCGCAACCTGGGCATGTGCCCCGACCAGGAATCATACAGGCAACTTTCAGTGCACAGGATGACACCCAACCAACTGAGCCACGCCAGACAGGGCTCTTCACTTCCATTTTGATTGTGGCACAAAGACGACATATATCCAATAGAAAACAACCAAGCACAACTGCCTACTACTGTGTGCATTAGTACAATCTGAGTGATCAAAGTCCTCTAAGAATGTCTTGCAAAAGCATATTTTATCTCATTGGCTACCCATCTGCTTGTTTAATGGTAAAATGTTGATGTAAGTCCAAGGGCCCAAGGATAGCACCGAGCATGGGAGACCTATTATTCTAAACCACTAAGGTCAGGCTGGCCTGTTTTCAATTCAACCTGGAAAAGTCAAATCCCATTCCCTCAAAAGAAGAAAAATGGCCCCACAATTTCACAATCTGGCTCTCCCCATTCTCAGGGCTTTGAAAAAGGCATCAGGACTAATCATGGAACATTCAACTCCAGGTTGTCATGACCTGGCTCTCCCCAATGTGATTCCTGGGGTGCAGACTAAGTCCTCTATAGTTTTTAAAGGCTCGGGAAAAATAAAAACAGTAAAAACACCCACAGATAATTCTCAATTTTGAGTGTTTTAGTCTTTCATTAGTCTGAAGACAATCATGAAGATATTTCATCAGCAAAAATGTATCGATCATTTTATCATCTACTGCTTCATAGTTATATGGCATATAAATAAAACCATGGTTCCTACCCTTAGGAACATTTGGTGTTATCGAAGTTAAATAAGGAATTATATAGTCTAAAGCAGTACAAATGCCAACAAAAATAAAGGCAAGGGAATAGAAAGATAAAAGCTAATTTACTTTAGATTGTTTAGGTTTGATATTCCTTTGATTCATCTGAATTTGTTGAAGTCCCCACTTGTGGGGATTTTTAAGAAAAATGTAAATTTTTCTTAAGTTGTGTTAATACAATTGCCCTGTAGAATTAATTGTATGATTTGTTAATTTAGTCAGCAAGAGTTCAAGTTTCTATATACATCAGGCAACAGATTGGGTATGTGGTATGTAGCAGCGAATTAAACAGGCAGGAATTCCTGTTTTTGCAAGGTTTACGCTCGAGCGAATTCAGGTTTCAAACAGTCTTCTTCTCTTGGGATAGACTGCCCCCACAGAAGATTCCCACCCCCACAGAAACACATCTCAGACCCACCTCCTGCCCTCTTCATGACCATGAAGAAATAAATGCAAGGACTAAGGTGGGGATAGTGTATCCACAAGCCACCTCTAAACTGCTGTCACATGGCAGATTTCCAGAGGCAGCCGGGACAAAACCATACATATTAAGAACCGTAAAGTAGGATTTCTTGGGCTGCGCTAGAAACCCCCAAACTCTTTCTATGACTGTTTCTATGGAAAAGGCCACCCAAGTTCTAAACAGCTGGCTTAGTCCACGCACTGCTGAAGCACACTCTGTAAGCTGTCAACAGCCTGTGCTCAGGCAGCTAACTGCGAGCTCAAATAGCTAAAAGCGATCTGGCACCCACACAGACGCTCCTGCACACACATTTTACTTTATAGTTGGAGCCTTTCCATGACACTCGCTAAGGAATAATTATTACGAATGTCCGCCTCGAGGAGCAGCCTTGGAGGCCCTTCCACCAGCTGGAATCGGGACACATACCAGGCTTTAGCTACACGTCTGCCCAGGCTGGTGGCAGACAACTGAATGCAGGCTTCTGAGCAGCCCGGGAGGCAAGGTGTTTATATTTCATCGCAATCCCTAGTTGCACTTCGTTTCTTCCACATGCAAATCAAAATGCCTCCATTTTCAGCTGCCAGGACAGCTGATTATCGTCACCATCGGAAACAGTAAATGCTCCTCTCAATGAAGGGACTGCTCTTTAGAAATTCCTGTGCATCTCGGGGCACAGAAAGAAAATGTCCTTGACAGTGCGTCGTGGCTACGGGATGAACACACTGATCACATACGTGTCTTTTCACGGCTGAGAACAACTCCAGGCCAGGGTGCCCAGAAAATTCTCAGGGTTTGGAACGAGGCAGCAGGACAAACCACAGAACATTCAACTCCAAAGTCCCTCTCACCGCCATCAACCAAAGTGATCTTGGGTAAAACACATCCATGTTCCAGTCCCTTCTTGGTCCTGTTCTCTCCCTGGGATGGCTTCCTTGATCTCATTCCAAGTCTCAACTTCTTATAAAATGCTGTTCTATGAAGCCTTCCCAGAGTCCCTTAAGCCAGTGGTTCTCAACCTTCTGGCCCTTTAAATACAGTTCCTCATATTGTGACCCCCAACATAAAATTATTTTCGTGGCTACTTCATAACTGTAATTTCGCGACCCACAGGTTGAGAACTGCTGCCGTAAGCCAAATCAGCTTCTTTCTTACTCATATCCCCACTCCAGCAGTCCATATCCGTTATAACATTTATCACGTGGTATTATTGTTGCATATTTATTATTCTATTTATTTTAGTTTATCATGTTATTTTATGGTCCTCTTAGTGTATCAGGCAATATGTTATCATGCCTACTTCTAATATTAATAATATCATTAGTAATATTATGAGTGTTTACTACTTGTCAGACTATGTGAATACAATCTCTAATTGTTACAAGAGCCCTGTGAGATGGACATTATCATTCTTCCCACTTTTTTCTATACTTCAAAAATGTAAAACCAAGAGAGATTATATAAATGGTTAGTCATGGCACTGAGAGTCAAAATAAAGTCTATTTTCCCTTAAAACTTATGCTTTTTACCACTACCCTAAAATGCTACCTATAAATAATAGTAGATGGTATTTACTAAGTGGTCAGGCTCTCTACCAGGTGCTCTCCATATATTAGCTAATGTGATCCTCACAAAAACCCTGTAATGTAGATATCGTAGTTATAATCTCAATTTTACAAAAACGAAATTAAGGTTCAGAATGGTTAAATGACTTGCCCAAGGTCACAGAACTATGAAGAATGGATCTGAATGTAGGTCAATCTCCCCTTACCCAATACTCTATTCCATAACCAGATGGTAGATTTTCTTTCGTCTTTGCAAACACTGCCCAGGTTTTCAAGAATAACCTGTCTGGAGAATGAAAACTGGACTGTGACCCAGTTTTCTGACTCACACAAATAAGCCAAACCTATCAAGCTCCTAAGGCACTCACCTTAGCACGTGTGTGGACCCATTAATGGTTGTGGTTGAACAGGGGACAGTCTGGCCCAGAATGGAAGGTCTTCGGTAGCGCTCATCATCACAGCAGAGGATGATGAGAAAGGCACGTCGAAAAGACTTATTCAAGAAAGCGTAGAGGAAGGGGTTCAATCCAGAATTGATATAGCCGAGCCAGAGGAAAGCTGTCCACACCTGCCCAGGGACTGTGTAGTCTACGAACGGATCCACAATATTGGTGACAAAGAAGGGGGCCCAGCAGAGGCAGAAGCAACCCATGATGATGCACAGGGTCTTGGCTGCTTTGGTCTCTGTCCTCATGCGATGAGTGCTATGCTGGTCTGTCGGCTGGGGCCTGCCCTCCGAGGGGGCTCCTGCCCGTTGTAGCATCTGGATCTGGTGGGCGTGCTCCTTGGCTGTGACATAGATGCGGTAATAGGCCAGCACCATGAGGAGAAACGGGATGTAGAAGGCTACCACGGAGCAAGTGATGGCGTAGGGCTTGTTGACCATGAAGACACAGTACGTGGAGTTAGAGCTCTGAGGGAACTTCCTTTTTTCTATCTGAGAGGTGGAGGGAGAAAGGGAAGGAAAAAGCGAAGGGGAGAAAGTAGGAGGGGAATGAGGAAAATTGTAAGAAAAGAAAAAGGAGGAAAAAGAAGAGAAAAGGAGAATATGAAGGTAGAAGGAAGGGGAGGGGAACGGGGAAGGAATGAGAGGAAAGAATAAATGAATTAAGGAAAAAGGAAAGAAAAGGTTTATCAGCACAGCTTTCTTCTTTTTTAGAAAAATAAACCTACAACTCTGATGGTAGAGAAAGAATACAACCAGATCCCAGGGCTCAGAGGGCTTATCTATCCAAGAGGGGCTGAAACCCCAGTAAAGAGTAGAAATAAAATAGGGACTAAAATCACTCTTCACTCTATCTACCCAGACAATAGTGGAGCCCTGCCTGTCCTCCCGTCTTGTATGCTTGCACACAGTAGATTTGGTAGTAAAAGTCTTCAAACTGTGACTCATCTTCTTCAAGACTGTGTTGGCTGTTCTTATAATCTCAACAATTCCCATATGAAATTGATCATTAGCTTATCAACTTCTATAAATATGTTTAAGGATTTCAATTGGAGTTAAAACAGAATGATTGAGGAAAACGGATATCTCTACAATGTTAAACCTTTCCATTCACAAACATGATAATCCTTGCCCTTTATGGAAGTCTTTAAAATTTCATTTTAGTATTATTTAATATGTTTTGTGTAAATGTCTTGTGCATCTTTTGTTAGGTTTGTTCCTGAGTATTTGACTTTTTATTCTATTGCAAATGGTACCATGTTAAAATTATAAACCCTAATTATTTGTTGCCAGGAGGTAGAATTCAATGATTTTTTTTTTGTATATTGACTATGTAGCCAACAACTTTGTTTAATGAATTACTAATATCTCATCTCTAGATTCTTTTGAATTTTCTCCATGCACACTCATGTGATCTGTAACTAATGACAATTTCCTTTCTTCCTATTCTTAATAACATCTTTTCTTGCATTATTGAACTTGACAAGTCCTCCAGGAAAATTCTGAATAACAGTGGTAAGAGTGGACACCACTTTTACATTCCTAGTTTTAGGAAGGGAGCTATCGATATTTTACTATTAAGTGTGATACCTTTAAGTTTTTTGTAAATGCTTTTTATTTGATTGAGAAAATTGAATTTTATGAATTTTAACAAGTCATAAATGGACATTGAATTTTGTCAGTGCATTTTTTGCAACGAGATGATCATGTGGGTTTTCCCTAATACAGTGAATTACATTGATTGAATTGCATTCCTCACTTGCATTGGGTGCTGTGGTACACTAGGTCCCTTTTGCAGGATGGAAGGTCTTTTCTCCCAATTATGAATTTTGCAGGCTGAGCTCTTAATTATCAGCCTTCTCTGGGAAGAGCCCTTGGCTAAAGAGACCTGTGTAACAAAATGACACTTCTGTACCTGAGGCCAGCCTGCATCCAGTGTGAATATTACACATAAATGAAGGTAGGAATAAAAAATATATACAACACAGATATGTTATTACTTGTGTGATTTAGTATCTTGTCCTATAGTCTATTATAGGGTTATAGTATATCTTTCTATTGAATTGACATTTTATGATTATGAAATATCTCATTTTATCTCAAGTAATTTAACTTGCCTTAAATTATTTTATCACTGATAACAGTACAGCTATACTAGCTTTCTTTTGATTAGTGTTTGTATATGATATTTTTCCATTATTTTATTTTCAATTTTTCTGTCATCTTATATTTCATGGGCCTCTCTTACACGCAACATATATTATATTTAGATTGGTTGGTGAAAATATTGTGACCAGAGACTTGGAGAAAACTAACCTTGTATTTCTCCAAGGAGCAAAGATTTAGTATTTTCTAATTCAGTGTTTGTGGCAAATAATTACTGCAAATAATGAAAATCAACTGTATATGTATTGTGAACACATGGGTTCTGCTAGCTTTTCTCTGGGCAGATTCAATGTGCAAATGCGTGGAAAGCTATAAAATGCAGTCACAACACCATGGAGCAAATACTAGGCATGTTGACACTGAGATGCCACACCTTCAGTTCCACAAAGTAAATAGGGGATGCCTGGCTCATAAACGGGCAAAAAGTCCCTAGGTTATTTCCCTTAAAAGTCTACATATGAAGGTAAAAGTGCTGTGCCCTTATTAAAAGTTCTGATGCACAAAAGCTTATGCTTCCAAAGGTTTTATCCATTAAGGAGTAAGTTAGTACAGATAGGAGGAGCACATACACTGGTTCCCAGTAAGCTTGGGCTTAGATATAGTGACCACCCCTCTCAACCAATGTAACTTTAACTAATAACTTCACCTCTCTGATCCTCATTTCCTGAAGATAATAATAGGATATACATAGCCTTGTTGTGGGGCCTCAGTGAGGTTCATAAGAATAGAGACACTATTAACATGGGGCTCAGTGCACAAGAAGTGTTCATTTGTTGGCCATTATTATATTGGTTGTTGGAAACTTGAATTTCATTTCTCCCCAAGAATGGTAAAACTTAAAGTTTGAAAGAAGAGGGATAGAATTCAAGAAAATATCCATACAGTCTCCCTTGTATGGGTCCCCTTTTACTTCTCCACTCCTTTGTCCCCAGCATTGCTCTCAGAAGCCCTGGGAACTCTTGTTCTGACATACCACATGCAAATCCTCGCCCAGCCTTGGTTTGGGTATTCCTTCCTGGACAAAGAACAAGGCAAGATTAGGGGCTAGAAATGGGGTGAAGAGTAGAAGGGGCAGCTTCTATTCTAACTGGTTCTGTTGGCCAGAGCTTGCTCTCAATCTCTCCTCTCCATTCCCCTTCCTACCATGAGATGGTCCTCGGATCAACTTTATAGTGACAACTTGACTGCTTCCTTAGGGAATGTATACCCCTGGTAATGAATCCAGACCATAGCTTTTAGTCACAAATTTAGTATTGCAAAGATAGTATGTCAGAGCTGGATGACTCTCAAAGACCACCTAGACTGGGGTTGGTAAATGCCTGACACATGTGCCATCATGTTATTCCTCTAAACCCTGGAAGACACTATTCTCCACTGGGGACCAATGGATCAAGCCTTGAAGGAAGTGGGTCAGTGAGAGCGCTGGCTTGGGGTTCAGTTCTCAACTCCTGTCCAGGGCTCTCTTTGCTCTCCAAAAGCTTCCACTCACATGACACATTTTCTGTGGATCACTGAAAGCCTCAAAGACTGCCAGCATGAAATAGGATGAAGACCTCTCGGGGCACTGGAGTCAGAATGCTAAGCTTCAGACACCTGTTCTGCTATTTAGTAGGCATATTAGTGGGCCTGTTACTTCACCTTTCTGAGTCTGACTTTTCTCATCTAAATGAGATCAGCAAAGGATACTATCAGGTGTATAGGTAAAGTATTTCACATACTTTATGGCATACAGTAAGCATTCAAAAATGCTAGCTTGCTTTTTTGTTGTTGTTATTCTTGTCATGCCGCAGACCACTGTCAGAATCTTTCTCAGAATATCCACCCAACTTGATACTGTTTGTTTATGTAGAATCCCAGGCAAACAAGGGAATCGGCCAGTGGGATCTGCGTGGGGTCTACTCACCAAATCAATTATGCCAATGTTGTTCCAGCCTTGCATTATAGGAAGGAAAGAGATAAACATGGGGATGACCCAGCAGCCTCCCAGCATTAACGCGATGCGCAGAGGGGTCATCTTGTTCCTATAGACCAAAGGCTGGCAGCAGATGGCATAATACCTGGAGAGAGAATGGGGAGGGGGGTGCCACGGGAGAGGAAGAAAGAGGGAGAAGGAGGGAGAATAATTGATGGGAGAGGAAGAGGGAGAAGAAGGGAGATATGAAAAGGAAATATTGGGAAAGAGAAAAATTGGAGGGGGAAGTTGAAAATAAAAATAAGGAAGAAATAATAGAAGAAATAATGGGGGAGAAGGGGGAGAGTGGGTAGCAGAGGAAGGGAAGGAGGAAGGGGAGAGACAAGAGAAAATAACAGAGGGAAGAAAACAGCAATTATACAATAAAATATGTTATATTGGCCAATGAGTTTCTGCTAATATAAATATCAACTTTCGATCACATCTGAGAATCATTTCCTAGAGCCAGCTCCATATCCCTCTTCCACTCCTAATGCCTGCACAGTTGAGGGTCTTCCCTGTCTCAGACACAGCTCCAACAGTACTCTCATGCCTGGGCATTTGAGGAACTTCAGTCCAGCCCTCTGGGCCTCACTGTCCTGGCATCTATGATCCTCTTTGATAACAACTTGAGGTGATTCACACATGGCCCGACATCTGAGTTCTAAGAACTGTCTTACATCTGTCACCATTCTCTTGATCACCTGCCTATACTAAAGTGATGCTAAGTCAATATTCCTTACATTGTGGTCCAGGGATTCCACCCTGTTCCCCTGCATGAGATTCACCTGAGGAGGCCTATTGAAAATGCAGATACCAAGGATCTCCAGAGGAAGGACCAGGAGTTGGCATTTTGACAAGAGGAAGTCATTACTGCTATTCGCTAAGTATGCCCAGCCCCTCTTTCTGGGCACATGCACTTCCTGGCCTCCTTGTGGTTGGGTAGGGCCAAGTGACTGGTCTGGTCAATGAGTTGTGAACAGAGTTGACACGTGTTACTTCTGGGCTGGACTATTTCATTGTTTTTCTAAGAATGCAAAATTTCAACTATTTCCTGTTTCATCAGTTCCTGCCTACAGATAGAGACCACCTCACCCGCTTTATCAGGTCTTCTCTTCCTCACAGGGCTCACTGCTCATCTTTCTTTGAGTCTGTGTTCTGCCTATGATACTGGCTTTCTTCTTACCTCCACATAGAGATGCAACCTGCCCCACTCAATGATCAAGTCTCTAACTCCAAGACTGTTCCTTGCATGCCATTCCAACCTTAGAGATCACTACTTCCATGTCCAGGCAGTTCATGGAATTTGACAACAGGCAAAACATCACAGTAGATCTATCAGCTATTTGTCTTTGCAAGAATCTAAAGTGCAAATAGACAGCCTGAAGGCTCAGTCTACTCTTTAAGATTTTATACCATTTAATGATGAGCCACCCCCAAAACCCCTCATTTCATGTAGTTCGCTTTGTTAATTTTTTCCCACCTCTTCTTTTCTTAATTCAAAGCATAACTAATATAACAATGGCAGTATTTTTGAAGAGGTGGTGGTGGGAGGAGTTGGAGAGGGTGAATGAGGAGAGGCCAATGTTAAAGCATGATCAGTGGGTGCTTTGGGAGATGGGGGGCAGGGATTATACTTTTCCTTCTAAGGCATCAGGGAGCAGCTGGCCGCACTATGCTTCCTGTGGCCAGAGAGACAGTGGGTGTCTTGACTTGCAACAGAGTGCAAGGAACAAGAGCCTGAAGAATGGAAGAGGGGATTAGCCAGGAACTCTTTTTCTTTTTCAAAAAAATATATATATATTTTTTTTATTGATTTCAGAGAGGAAGGGAGAGGGAGAGAGAGATACAAACATCAATGGTGAGAATCATTGATCCGCTGTCTCCTGCGCGTCCCACACTGGGGATCGAGCCCACAACCTAGGCATGTGCCCTGACCAGGATTCAAACCATGACCTCCTGGTTCATAGGTTGATGCTCAACCACTGAGCCACACCAGCTGGGCAGGAACTCATTTTATTTCTGTGTGTGAAACTGACGTGGTAGCCAACTCTAACTAAATATAACTCGGTAACAGAAGAATGATGATTATCTGGAATTCCCTCCATGCTCTTGACTTATAAGAAAAGCACGTAATATCAGAGTGGCAATTTTATTTTCTAACATAGAGATGGTGAATTAGGTGTGTATGAAAATATATTTTTTTCCAAATTTTGCTCCCTCCCTCATTTTCTGCTAGAGGACCTAGATTAGACATTTTGTTGTGTCCATTTAGCATCCTTCTTCTTTTTTCTTGGTAATAGCATCCCTTGTCTTTGGGGAATTATCTCTTGTCTATTGATAGGGTGTTGGGAAAGCAAATTATCAGATTCTGACATCTCCAGCCAGCGAGTCACCCAATCAGTGTCTCCTGGGATTCTAGACGTCATGCAGAGTGACGCAAAGATGGGACAGTCAGGGACGGTACCCTATTCCCGCAGCAAGCTCCTGGCGGGCTGAGGTTAGCTCCTTTCCCTGGGTCTTTGGGAAGCCATGCTTTTGCCCCTTCCATTCTTCATTCTGTAACTCTTCCTTTAATTTAATAAGCCACCTGATATGTTGCCAATAAATGCTCTTTTTGCTTAAGTTGCTGTTATGGGTTGAACTGTATCCCCTTCCTCCAAAAGAAATATTAAAGCTCTAAACCTCAGTAGCTTGGAATGTGACCTTATTTGGCAATGGGGTATATATAGAGCTAAGCAAATTAAAATGAGGTCATTGGAGTGGCCTTCATCTAAAATGACTGATAATCCTCATAAAAAGGGAATTTTGGACACAAAGACAGACATGCACAGAGAGAAGATGGCCACGTGAGGACAGAGGATTGGAATGATGCATCTACAGGCCAAGGAATAGCAAAGATTGTGAGAAAATAACCTGATGCTAGGAAGGGTTCAAGATTATTCCCAAGGTCTTGGTACCCTGAGGCAGCTGCCCTATTATCTTTCCTCGTATCTTTTTAATCTTTGCTTTATAACAAAGAATTTAGAAAAATAAACATCTTTTTGAAGGCTATATTCAAGAATCTAAATCAAGTAGATGAAAATAAATATTACAGAATAAAATGATTAATAAAAACTGAATTCCAGGCTAACTGACTAATGACGCTTCCTTACAAATTCTAACTTTTGTGTGTAAATCAAGGACTAGCTAAAAATCTGATAATTTGATTTTTATCTATTATGGTTGCTTTTTAGTTCCTATAATTGGATTATATTTCCCCTGCTAGTAAAAAAAATATTTTTCCTACCATGAATTACCTGCAAAACACATGCATAACACCATTAGACAGAAGTAGTTAGTGAAAACTTGTATGCATATATATGCATAACTCATACACACAGACAATAGGGTGGTGAATGAAGGCCTGGGGCAGGGGTGAGGGCGGACTAGAAGGGGTCAGTGGGGAAAAAAGGGGGACATACGTAATACTTTCAACAATAAAGATTTAAAAAAAAATTTGCAAGTTCTTTAGAGGTCAGGCAAAACAACCTGGCTGAGTTAATAATAAAAGGTACTATCCATTTACTTAATAAGGACTCTACCTGTATTGTCTCAATAAGTCCTCACAACCACTTTTGAGATAGGAACTATAAACGTACCCATTTCACAGGTGAGCAAAAAGAAACACAGAAGTGTCAGGATTTGGCTAAGGTCCCACAGGTGGTAAAAGCCAGATCTAGCCCAGAGAGCCTGACTCAAGGGCTAGGATGTTACCCTCATTACTATTACTTTACTACCTCCCCTAAATCCCCAAGGGATTATTCTATATCTTTACAAGCCACTTTAGGAACAATCAAAACATACAAACACTAAATCTCAGAATACTGAAATCCCTAGTCCTGTCCACAATGAAGTGTAGCCAAGCCTACATTAATGCACCAAGGACTGGAATTCACCATTCTACCATAGTACATTGGGAACTTAAGGCGATCCTGAAAGTAAGACTGTTTCTTCCAAGACTGCTTTCTGTAATTTCCAGTTTTACCCTCTGGCTACATTTAAAACTTCTATCTCTATTCTTTTTCTGTATAGTGGTCCTACGGACATCTGAAGAGGGCTTTTATATTTTTCTGAAGCCTCGCTTTCTATAGGTAGAAACATTCCGAGTTATATTCAACCAGGGTTGATTTTGCTTGCTAAGGGATACTGGGCCATGTCTGGAGATATTTATTGTTGTCGCAACTGGGAAGGGTGATGGTCCTGGCATCCAGTGGACAGAGGCCCAGGAGGCTGCTAGATGCACAGGACAGCACCTCACAACAAAGAATCAACCGGTCTACAACGTCAGTAGTGCTGAAGCTGAGAAACCCTGGTCAAGAGGAGGTGATTTTTGCCAATGGCAGGGCTCCATGTCCTCTGAATGTGCTGTGGTGTGCCATTACCTCTTAAGAGTGGGTGCCATGATACTCTGGTGTACCCTATACAAATGGGAGAAGACTAGTACATCCCCTTCCACCCTGCCCACCACAACTTAACACAGACAGGGGGTCACCCAGGAGTCCAAGACACCTGCACTCCTTCTAACAGCAGGAGTTAGGAGTTAGGAGTGCGAGGTGAGAAAGTCTTCCCCTAACTGATTTATAAAGTCCAGGGATGTTTGTCTCACTCACGCCTGTATCCCCGATGCTTAGTGCAAAGCTAGAGACAGAGTACATACTCACAAAATGGGTTGAATAAGAATAAGCCCATAATCACGACCAATTAAAATAAACTACACTTGAATGTGGGACCATGTTTTGGGGATGTGAAAGGTCATATCTAATAGAGGAATGGGGAGGCTTTCTCTAGTAGGTATCTTTTAAGTAGGACTTTAGAGACTAGGTAAGGGTGGTGGAGGAGAAAGTGCAATACAGGTGCGTGGCCAAAGAGACAGAAATATTATATATTTCATATATATATATATATATATGGTATTTATAGATATGTGTTTCATATCAATATATATTTCATAAGTATATCCCTATATCCACATAGCTGGACAGTAGAGTGTTTATAAGGAAGTAAAAGTAAATATGCCTTAAAAGGCTGGATGAAGGGCACGTCTCAGCACTGGTTCTCAGACTG